AAATTATTGCTTGTGCTCTCTTCTAGGATTTTTATGGTTTCAGGTCTCACATTTAGGTCTTTAATCCATTTAGAATTTATTTTTGTGTATGGTATAAGAAAGTGGTCCAGTTTCATTCTTTCACATGTTGTTGTCCAGTTTTCCCAACACCATTTGTTGACGAGACTGTCTTTTTCCCATTGTATATTCATTTCTCCTTTGTCGAAGATTAATTGACCTTATAATTTTGGGTTCATTTCTGGGTTTTCTGTTCTATTCCATTGATCTATGTATCTCTTTTTGTGCCAATACCATACTGTTTTGATTACTACTGCTTTGTGATATAACTTGAAATGATACCTCCAGCTTTGTTTTTCTTTTTCAAGATTGCTTTAACTACTCACGGTCTCAATTTTGACTTTAATAGGAATAGATGGATATTGCATAACATAATTTTATGCATGTTATGTGTATGTGTGTGTACAGATACACACATACGAAGGAAAAATGACCACTCTTACCTTAAACAGTCTTTAACACTCCTCTAGAAGTACACTCCAATACAAATTTTGAAAATAGAAGTTATAAAAGGAGGCTAATTTATCCATGAAAGTTGTAGACGATAAGATTAACTACCTGGAGAAAAAAAGAACAAGGTCATCCACTGGAAAACTATGAGAAATAATAAAGGAATATAGGAAGATGACTGCTAATAAATATTAAAATGGTACTTATAACATATAAACTTTAGCCTCTTAGAAAATATAATGGAAGGAAACATTTACAATATCAATAAAGGCGCTAAACATAACTGGAAGTCAGTCTAACCGGAGGTGGCAAGAACTGGTCTCGCTACTGCTGTTCACTTCTGGTTCCCCAGCACTTAGAGGAGGGCCTGACAATGGTGATAAATATTTGTCAAACGGTGAAACTGGCTCACAGATCAAGGGAACAGAAATGTGTATCTATTTTTTTTATTTGATTTATTTATTTGACAGAGAGAGACACAGCGAGAGAGGGAACACAAGCAGGGGGAGTGGGAGAGGGAGAAGCAGGCTTCCCGTTGAGCAGGGAGCCCGATGCGCGGCTCGATCCCAGGACCCTGGGACCATGACCTGAGCCGAAGGCAGACGCTTAACGACTGAGCCCCCCAGGTGCCCCCAGAAACATGTATCTAGACAGAGACCCAAGCACATTTGAGAGGCAGTGGTGATCATAGTAATAGTGTTCCACTGCCCTTGCGTGGGGTGTCCCGCATCTGTGTGTTGGGACCAGTTGGTCTGTAGTGTTGTATATATTCAAGTCCTCTGTGTCCTTATTGATCTTCTGTCTGGGGGTTCTACCCATTATTGAAAGTGGTTTATTAAAACCCCCTCCTCTGTTGAGTTACTATTTCTCCCTTCAATTCTGTCTGCATCATATATTTGGGTGCTCTGCTGTTAGGTACACATATATTTATAATTATTATCTCTTCCTGGAGAATTGACCTTCTAATCGTTATATTCTATTCCATTATATTCTATATCCTTGCAGCAGTTTTGGACTTTGCATCTACTTTGTCTGGGGGCGGTGTGGCCACCCCTGCTCTCTTTTGGCTCTCATTTGCAAACAGTATCTTCTCCCACCCTGTTGCTTGCAGCCTATATGTGTCTTTACAGCTTGCTCGGGCGAGTCTCTTAGAGACAGCCCCTTACCCGAAATAACTCACTTAATCCTCACAATAGATGGTGCTATTGTTATTACCACTTTTAGATGAGGAAACCCAGGCACAGGAAGGTTAGGTAAATTCTCTTAGATCCAGTGAAGCTAGAATTTGAACCAGCACTTGACTTAGAGGTTGTGCTCTTTGTGTCCATCCTAGTACCTAGTTAAATTGAGATTTTGAATTTAGAGGGAGGGTGGTGGGGTGGAGGGAGGGAATAGATTATTCCTACATGACTTTGGGGCAACTCTCTAGCCCCTTGCGGGGAAAATAAAGCTGGACCCTATTATACTTCTTACACCAAAATATATTCTAGAAAAAAAAGATTAAAACGAAGAAAGAAAACCTGAACAGTACTAGTGGAAAACAAGGGCAAATATTCTTAGGATGCTCTAGTAAGAAATACTTTTGACTACAGAAAAATATGAAATATCTGTAAGGCAAAGATGACATAAATAAAAATAAAAGAGACCTATGACAGTTTGCAATACACATGACAAAAAGTTGATTAATTTCCTTAGTTTAGAAAAACCTCTTAAAAATCAACATCACTTGGCATCAGGGAAATACAAATCAAAACCACAATGAGATACCATCTCACACCAGTCAGAATGGCTAAAATTAACCACTCAGGAAACAACAGATGTTGGTGAGGATGCGGAGAAAGGGGAACCCTCTTACACTGTTGGTGGGAATGCAAACTGGTGCAGCCACTCTGGAAAACTGTATGGAGGTTCCTCAAAAAGTTAAAAATAGAGCTACCCTACGACCCAGCAATTGCACTACTACGTATTTATCCAAAGAATACAAATGCAGTGATTTGAAGGGGCATGTGCACCCCAATGTTTATAGCAGCAATGTCCACAACAGCCAAACTGTGGAAAGAGTCCAGATGTCCACTGACAGGTGAATGGATAAAGAAGATGTGAGATATATATATATATATATATATATATATATATATATATATATATATATATATATATATAGGACTATTACCCAGCCATCAAAAAAAATGAAATCTTGCCATTTGCAACAACATGGATGGAGCTAGAGGGTATTATGCTAAGTGAAATAAGTCAGAGAAAGACAAATACCATATGATTTCACTCATATGTGGAATTTAAGAAAGAAAACAGATGAATATAGGGGAAGGGAAGGAAAAATAAAATAGGATAAAAACAGAGGGAGGCAAACCATAAGAGATGCTGAACTCTAGGAAGCAAACTGAGGGTTGCTGGAGGGGAGAGAGGTAGGGGGGTGGGGTAACTGGGTGATAGGCATTAAGGAGGACACTGGTGTAATGAGCACTAGGTATTATATGCAATTGATGAATCTCTAAATTCTACTCCTGAAACTAATAATACACTGTATGTTAACTAAATTAAATTAAAAAAAAAACAAAAACAAAGAAAGTGCTTTCAAAAAAAATCAGTAAGATGGGAAAGGACATAGGCAGTTCACAGAAAAATAAATGCCAAGGCCAATCAATCAATAAACATGAAAATAATGTCTGCCCTTTCTGATAATTACAGAATCACACATCGAAACAAGATATCATTTTTCAACACTCGTATTGGCAAAGTTTAAAGATCTGATAAGGCACAGTGTTGCCGAGGGTGGAGGTGAGCAGGCACTCTCGTGCATGGCTGGGCAGTTCAAACTGGTTCATCCTCTCTGGAAGACAATTTGGAAACATCTATCAGAATTTTAGACCCACCTAACCTTCGACTCCTTACTATTTTATCCTACAACTAACCTCACACATAGGCACAAAGATACATAATCAAAGATGGTTTTTTGCAGCCAAAAGGTAGAAACAACCTAAACACCCATCAACAGGAATAGACTCACCTGAATTACAGTGCATCTTTCAATGGAACACATGAGCTGCTACAAAAGTAAAGGGTCTGTGCTGGTAGGCAGAGATGTGTGCTGTGTGTTAACTAATGAAACAGAGTACTGGGAATATGTTCCGGGCTGGGTTTAGAATAAAGATGAAGGCATAGATATGTATTTGTCAATATTTGTGGGAAATTCTTTGAAGAAAAGTCACACAGGAAACGTGGCTGTGTTTGGGAGTGGGACAGAGGTTTGGGGAGCACAAGGGGACTTTTCACTGTGCCTTATTTTGAATGTTTTGATTTTTTTTCCCGATAAACATGTTCTTTTCAGAATTTGAAAAGAATAGTTAAGAAGAAAGCAGTTTGAAAGGGAGAATACTTTTTAAGTGCCTCGCCCTGAACTTTCTTTTTAAATTTCACAGTGGGCTCCCCTCCTCTTACATTTGTAATTTTCAATCTGGAAGGGCCAAAGAGATGTCTCCAGTCTTCATCTTGTCCCCAAGGAAATGAGGCCTAGAGAGGTTTCAGCAGCTGCCAGGGACCCCGGCTAGTCTTTCTGCAGAGACGGGGCTCCTATCACACTGTTTGCAGGAAAGGGACCAATGACTCCTTTATGCATATGATCAAAGCTTTCTCCTTAGTTGTGGCCCTTTTCTGAGACGTAGTCCAGCAAGTCTTATTTCGTATGCACCCACGTGGAGAACCTGTTAAAATGCACATCCCCAGGCACCTTCCTGGAGATTCTGATTCAGTGGGCGAGGGTAGGGCCCCTAAACCTACATTTTAGCAAGCTCTCCCCACCAAATGATGCTGAAGTCCTACTTGAAGTCCCCTTATGGATATGGGCCCCTCTGAGCTCCCCAGCTCAGCCCTGCTGGCAGTGTCTAGGCTGAAGCCCCGCCCCCCCATGTGGAAAATGAGGGCTTCCCAAGTCACCAGGAGGGAAGTGGCAGAGCAGACCTAGGTGCTTGGACTTTTATTTTTTATTTTATTTTATTTTAAGATTTTATTTATTTATTTGTCAAAGAGAGAGCGAGCACAAGCAGGGAGAGCGGGAGGCAGAGGGAGAGGGAGGCTCCCCACTGAGCAGCGAGCCTGATGCGGGACTCGATCCCAGGACCCTGAGATCATACCTGAGCGAGAGGCAGCCACCTAACCAACTGAGCCACCCAGGCACCCCAGTGCTTGGACTTTTAGTGCAGTGCTCCATCCATGGGCTCCCTCCCTTCAGGCTCATGCTCACCTAGGATGAAGGATGGCTCCCCAGCTCACCCACCCCAGGGATGGGCAGTTGGATGCAGAGATAGGGGGCAGACTGGGCGTCATCTGGGGTGCCCTCCCCCCATGAGAACTCCCCTGAGGCAGGCCTCCTGGCAAGATGCTGACAAGCATGTTGGGCTTATGCCGCTTGGCTGGGTGAGGCGCCGCAGGGAGCCTGGGCGATCTGAGAGGGCTTTGTTGTCCCTGTGCCACAGAACCTTGGAGGAGCCAACTTCATGGTCAGGAGCTGAGCAGGGACAAGGCTGGGCCACTCGGAAGCACCTGAGGACTGATCAAGAGGAGGGAGGGCCGTGACCACCCATCTGCCTGAGCCACACCTCACCTGCTGGTCCAGGTAGGTGCTCTTACCACCATCCCACCCAGCAGTGCTAAGACCCTAGCACCAGCTCTTCTGTCAGCCTTAGGAAGTGCGGCCACCCCATCGCCCGGGACCTGGGGCTCTCCAGCCACTGCGTGGTTGTAGGCTCTCCCTAAGCCCTCCTAAACCCACAACCTGATCGGGGGGGGGGGTGTGTGTGTGCAGGAAAGCCCGGTCCTCTCTCTAAAGGACACTGTCCCAGGTGACCTTGGCTCCCAAAGCCTGGGAAGGGGTCCAGAGACTACTCTGGCTCTGGTCACGGTGTCCCCTGCTCTGCAGAAATGACCCCAGGCTGAGCGGTTAGCTGGGTCCTGCGTGGCTCCTGCTCAGTGGAGCCCAGTCTGGGATCAGCCCAGGACACAGCCAGACAGGTCTCCCAAGAGTGCCCGGCCTCTTGACACTTTTTCTTCAGGAAGGGATCATGACCCATGGTATCTTCATCGACTCTTAGAGCTGGAAGGGATCTTAGTGATATATCCCACCTCAGTCTCTTTTTTACTTCTCAAACTTTACTTATATCAACGGTGCTGTTGACAATGTTGAGGAACCCGGTGTCATTTCATCAAAACAGCCTAGGACACCCTGGGGTCTCAGGCAGCCCTTCCTCGGTTCAGCTGCCTCTTCCCGGCCTGGCCTCAGCCAGTTCCTCCCCCTACCTTGCCTCTCCTTCCATCTACCCAGTGGCTCCTAGCAACTCATCTGCTTTGTGACAGGGACACTGGTAGTGATCAGACATCCCAAACCAGAAGGCGTTAAAGCCCAGTTAGCATTACAGTGAGGCTTTCTCCCCAGTTTAAGTAAGTTAATAAAATCAAGAAAGGATTGGGTAGTCGAGGCAGGCTCTCACAGTGATATCTCCATTTGAGAGTCTCTAAAATCTCTTTGCCGCCAAAGAAGAAGTTATCCTGTGTGGGCTGTTGGCCAAGAACATAGTGATTGTTGCCATTATCAACAAAAGATATAGTACTTTTCTGTGCAGATCAAAGTGCTTGATGTCCACATCTCCCTCCTAATTTCCTGGTCCAGCCTGAGAGATCCCTCCAGGGCAAGGAATCTTAGGCAGAGGCAGGATCTCACGTCTATCCCTCTGGCCATGCCCACTGCCCCCGCCTGAGCCGGACCCTTGGCCCTCCCATTTCCATCATGTGAGAGGCAGCATCGAATTGTGCAAAACGCAGGCTCAGGAGCAAGGAGGGTTCAGGTCCCAGCTCCACCACCTACTGGCCTTGCCATCTCTCTGTACGTGTCTTTTCACCTGTAGAATGGGGATAGCAACAGTACCCCAGGGGGGCTGAGAAGATGAAAGCTAATATCTGTAAAGCACTTGGAACAACCTCCAGCACTCAGTGAGTGCTTCGCACACGTTAGCTCCGGTCATGACAAAAGCCACCCTCTGCTTCCTGAAGCAGGACAATCCTCTTGCTGCCCTCTCCAAAATCATCTGTGGCTCCCCATTGCCCATTCAGTGACTATGTCTATGAGGTCCTTTAAGGGCCTCAAAAGCCGAAGCTTTATAATTTTCCTTGCACATAATAAGCAATCAATAGCATTTGCTGAGAGAGAGGGTTTTCCATCCTCAAGGTGGGCGAACTGAGTCCCTAAGTAAGGGGCGTGCAGCCACAGACAGCCCCACAGCTGGGGGGCTTGATCCAGGCTCTTTTGCCTCCCCAACTATGCCCTGGATGCCGGGGGCTGGATCTGCCCACGGGGCAGGTTTGGTTTCCCTTGGATCTTCTGGGGCCTCAAAGGCAGGGGGCGCCATTCGGACTCCGGCCTTCCAGGTGCACATCAGATTGAGGAGAGGACACCCCGCACAGGCCAGAGCAGGCTGCGGCCGCAGGTCTAACTCCCATTCTTGGATGAGTTCAGGCCTTATCCTCGCTCATTACCGGGAGGCGGCCAGAACCTCTGCTCCTGAAGCTTGGCTGGGAAGCCCGTGGCCAGCAGAGACCACCCGTGGTCTGGCACCCTGGACAGAGAGCCCGGCCTGCCCCACACCCCGCACCTCCGCTGTTTCCCTAGCAGAAGAGAGGCCAGTGCCACGGAAGAGCAGGCACTGGGTTGGAGTAGGACAGACCCATGTCCAAAACCAGGCTCCTCACCGGGCGGGAAGACCTTGGCCATGTCAGTTAGCTTCTCTGAGCCTCTTTTTCCATCTGTAAAATGGGAGAATAAAACCCATTCCATAGGTTGCTGAGAGGCCAGAATGGATCAACATGCCCAGGGCACCTGTCCAGTGCTTGCACAGGGTGGGTGCTCGGTGACTTGTGGTTATTCTGTTCCATCCGTCAGAGGCACTCTTCCAAGCTGCCCGGGGGGGGGCAGCTGCCTCAGTCCTGCGAGTCTCTCGCTTTCCTTGGTTGAAAATTTCCTCGCTTGGCCTCCACTTCAAGATGAAGGGAAGTGGTGGTATCTTTGGCAAGGGAGGGGAGGAGGAACAGTCCAAATCTTCGCAGACTCCTGGCAGGGGCACGAGGCTCAGTGGGGAAGAAGCAGAGCTCTGTGAGACTTTCGCGGAGATTTTCCGCTCTGGTGCTGCCAAGCTCAGGAAGCCAGGAGTGGAGAGACAAGGAGGGAACACACCAGACCATGCTGCTTCACGCAGGGTGCTGGGTTCCTCTTTATTCATGCGACAGATGAATGCATTTGTTGGGATTCCAGGCACCAGGCGAAGCACTGGGATATTCGGCGACAAGACAGATGGACGTAGGCCCTGCCCTCATGGGGCCTTCATTCGCAGGGGGGTGAGGGCAGACAGTGAACAGCATACTCTATGGATAAAATGTGATAGGGGATCAATGCAGGGGGAAAACAGAGAAGGAGAGGGGGACTGGGAGCGCCTGGGGAGTTTCCTTATTAAATAGGGTCATCGGGACAGGCCTCACCAAAAGGTGACATTTGAGACACCAATTGTCTGCTCCCCTCAGGACCCCCTGACAAGCCCATGAACTCAGAATCAGGGCCAGGTGCCTTTCATGAGATCCCCAGATAGGAGCTAAATCTAGAAACCCTTCTAGTCCCAGCCCAGGTAATGTCATGCCCTTCCTCTGAAGCCTTCAGTAGTTCCCTATTGCCTACACAATTAAGTACAAATCATTCATTCTGAGATTCGGGACCTTCCTGTTATCTCACCAGACCCTGCTCATGCCAGCTCTGCAGTCATGCCAGTCTACCTGCCATTTCTGGAATATTCCATTCTCTGCTTCCCTCCATCATTCCTCTGTCCCCTCTGCCCAAACTGCCCCTGTTGCCACTGGTTCCTGTTAGCCTGCCACCTCTCTGAAGCCTTCCCTGCCCCAGAGGAGCTGTGGTCACGGAGCCCCTTTCTCATTCCATGGCCCTTACTCGGCCTTGGGTGTGTGCACTGCTTTCCCTGTGTGATCTTTCCACGTGGCTGAAAGTGCTCTGGGCAGGGCTCAGGGCTTTTTCACCTCCAGCGGGTATAAGGCTCAGCAAACATGGGCTGAATTGAGTGTGGCCAAGCTCAGAGGCCCCCAGCAACACTAGGACAAGCTGGTGGAGCAGGGGTGGCCCACTCACAAAAAGAAGGCAGAAGGGGGAGACCAGGGGCACCTGGGTGGTTCAGTTGGTTAAGCGTCTGCCTTCAGCTCAGGTCATGATCCCAGCGTCCCTGGGATGGAGCCCCGCATTGGGCTCCCTGCTCGGTGGGGAGTCTGCTTCTCCCTTTCCCTGTTTGCCGCTCCCCCTGCTTGTACTCTCTCTCCGTCAAATAAATAAATAAAATCTTAAAAAAAAATAAGTGGGGGGCCACCAGGAAAGGAGAGAGGGAACGAAGACATGGGTGAGACAGGATGGAGGAACTAGAGAAGAAAGGGGACAGAGATCCCCACCATGTTTTTTCCAGAGAGACAGACCATCAGAGACAGAAGGATGGGTTCTTTTTCCCCAGAAATAGCTATGACTCCCTTCAGCATCCCGGAGCAGTGCTTCCTTGTGTCTACCTAGAATACCTCTTGCTGCAGCTCGCGCTCATTTCCTTCGGTTCTATCCTCTGGACTCAGGGAGCTATATGAGCCCTCATTCAGCATGGATCACAGTGGCTTTCTTGACCCCCCCCCCCCCCCCCCGCATCCAAGAGGCAGGTGCAAGGTCCTAATGAGGCTGGCCCCTGGCCTGGGACTTCACACTCTAGCTGAGGAAGCCAGGACCCCTAGAGCTTCCCAGAGATTGTTTGGGGGCCCAGAGTATGGGGGCTTCCCCACGTCATGGAGGCTGTGCCTCAGCCACTCTCCAGGGCTACCCTTCACCACAGTCAGATCTGTAACCAGAGAGTCCCCACTACCACAGCGCTGTGATTGTCAGGCCACTCTGCTCTGGGCCCTCTCTGTCCCCCAGGCCCTGTGAAGCCCCACGAGCCGCCTGCGGCCTCTGCCATCTGGTCCCGCCCATCGCTGGAGCTCTGGCCGCCCCCCCACCTCTCTCCGACTCCCCTGGAGACAGCCAGCCTGGCTCCTGCCCTGTTTCAACAGATGGGGACAGAGCTGGGTGTCCCTTCCATCTCTGCTGTTCCGAGGGGTGGCGTGGTTCCATCTGGGACCCAGACTCTCTCAGGGGAAAGCCTTTACATAATCCAAGCCCACCTCCCTCTCCTCCGGGAATGTCATGCCCTTGGCCTCCCTGTGGCCGCAACTCCCAACTCCCCAACTCCAAATCGGAAGCCCCATGTGCCCCCAAGCCTCGGTATGCGGCTGCCAATCTCCTCAGTGATGGTAGTTCCCATCTTGGAGCTGTGAGGATGGCAAGAGCTCATGCTGACAGGCTCTCCGCACTGCACCCAACAGTAAGCCCTCGGTCAGGGGGACTCCTGCCCTCCTGCCTTGGCTGACACCATCTCCAGGCAGCCTTTCCAGGTTGTTCAGGGCTCCTCCACTGGGCTCCCAGCACCCCTTCGCCAGGCCTCTGCAGCGCACCTCTGCAGACCTGTCATGGTTCCTTTAGGGGTCTGTGGACCCACT